CATTTGCCGATGAGACATTTTGAGGTTGAGAGATGTCTTGAACTCCACGTGTCTAATACAGAATTTGTCACTCCTCATCTAAACCTCACTATTTATAGAAGGTAGTACCTTCCTCTAGTTGCTCATTTTTTCTCATTTTACTGTCATCCTTGACTCATCACTGTAATTCACCCCACAAAGTAAAAGCATTTAAGTACCTACTATGTGTCAAGCACTTTGCTGAGCACTTTACAAATATAATCTAATTTGATCCTCATAATAACCATGGAAGGCAAGCACTATTGTCATCCTCAATTTACATATTAGGAAACTGACATATACAGAGGCTAAGGTCACACATTTAATAGATATCTGAGGCAGGATTTGAACTCTAGCCCTCCTGAGTCCAGGCTTATCCACTGAGCTGTCTAGCTGCCTCATATCTAATTACTTGACAGACTTTATTGTTTATCTGTCTACAACATCTTTTGCATCCACCATTTTCTCTTTATCTATACTGCTACCATCCTACTGTCCTTATTGTATCTTACCTGTTCTATCAAAGCAGACCCCTGATTGATCTCTCTTTACTCCAATCATTCCTCTACATAACTGCCAAAATGCTTCTCCTAAAGTATAGGTATGACTATGTCACTCCTCTAATCAGTAAACCTCAGTGTTTGTTGTTCAATTGCTTCAGTCATGTCTGACTCTTCATGTCCCCAGTTGGGGTTTTCTTGGCAAAGATACTGGAGTGGTTTGCCATTTCCTTCTCCAGCTCATTTTACAGATGAGGAAACTGAGGCAAACAGGGTGAAGTGACTTGCCCAGGGTCACAGAGCTAGTAAATATCTGAGGCCAGAATTTGAACTCATGAGATGAGTCTTCCTGACTTTAGGCCCCGTATCCTATTCATTGACCCATATAGCTGCCCTTCAGTTACTCTCAACTCTAGGATCAAATACAAATGAAAAAATGAAATTTAAAGCTCTTCACAAGCTACCCCCATTAGACATTCAGGGTTTTGTTGCTATATGTCACTCGCACACACTCTGTATTCCAGACAGACTGGCCTTCTTGCTATCCTTTGCACATGATGCTCCATATCTTTATTCTGGCTGTTTCCCGTGCCTACTAAGCATTTTTCATCACTTCTACATCTTCGAATCCCTGCTTTCCTTCAAGATTCAGCTCAAGTACCATCTTCTACATGAAGCTTTTCCTGGGCTTTTCAGGTTCTAGTACTTTCCCCTCAAGGTTGCCTTTTACCTTCTCTTTATGTTTTGTTCATGCCTATAAACATGCACATTATTTCCCATGTAAGAATGTAAGTACCTTGAGGGCAAGGACTGTTTCCCTTTCATCATTGAATTCCCCAATGCCTAGCTCAATTCTTGACACATAGTAATTGCATAACAAATTAATTCTTTATTTGATTGGCAGAACACATTTCTCAGTGCTTACCTACTGATAAATGAATGAGGAGAGAGACTGTATCTGGCAGTAGAAGTGAAGGGGTAAGAGAGCATGAAATAATACTAATTCATTTGTCCACAAAGGTATGATGAAGCTGGAAGATTTTCTCAGGCTTGGCTGTAACCCAAGTGAAATATCCTTTAAGCCAAGCCAATTTATTTTGCTTCAGCTGTTGGCAACTGAATTCAACAAATATTTATTGAGTGTTTACTATATGTAAGGTACTATATTATGCATTGAGGGGGACTAGAAACAACAATAATACATAACCCCTGTATTCAAAGCTTTTAAGGCACTTTCCCCATATATGTGGACACCAGAAAAGGGCTACCCTGGATACTTTAATTATCTGTGATTTCAGCAGTATTTGTATTCCCTCTGCTTTTGCAGATCGCTGTCTTTCAGAGATTGACTAGAAGGTCAGCAGGAATTACTGTGGCTAAGAAACACAGTATTGTTGCATCCTCTGAATACCCTGCCAAGTAGAAAAATTGTAATTCCCACTCTTGAAGTGGTATTATTACCATATAGCAGTGAGAGTAAAATGTGCCAGAGTTAGCAAAAACTCTATCAATTTGCAATATTCCTGAAATGAAAATGTTTTCTATTACAGAGATGAGGATGACATTGACCCGTCCTTATTAGAGAAAGTCCTTTAACTTATCTTTTTTACATTTGTTTATTTTATTTTTCATATGAAACAAAACAAGCACTTTCATAATATAGTATAATAAAAAAGATGATTGTACATGAAACAGCAAATCTATTATGTACAATAATAGTGGTATGGGGTTGCATTGAGCCATCCACCTGCTCACATCTTATGCTTAATTGCCCTTATATGTATGATAGTTTGCCAGGGTTGCAGGAATGATGATGAGATGATACATGCATGATGCCTTACAGATTTGATAGGAACATCAGTATCTGCTTGGTTAAGAATTGCTTCAAGGAGTCCAATCAGGTCATTTTCATCTTAATCACATTTGCCTTGTCATGGGTTTATAAATATCATATGGTCTTAACTTGTCCATCTTCAAGTGTGACAATGTTATATAACCTATGTACATAGAGCAATCTGATCGTGGAGCTGGACAAGAGGAACGAAAGTTGTTGGTGTCCAGTTCTGGGCTCCCAGGAAGCTTTTGCAACTTAGATGTTAGACATCATTCCAAATATCATCTTGGAATCCCTCTTTAGGAAAAGGAAATCCAAGCAGATGCCTTTTAAACTTCTGTTTTCTTTTGCTTTGGCCTCAGTAGTGGTAACATTAATGGAGTGTGAATTTCACTTCAATAATGGTGCATGACAACTTCAAAAATAAACACTCTCTTATCTCAGCAGTTATAACTCCAGAAAGAGCAAAAGAAGGAGGTGAGATCCAAAGCTCTTATTAGTAGTAGTACAGTGGACTATAAAATGGGCCTTTTTCTGACTTCTTTCTGCATCTTTTCCTAATCAAACTGAAAACATTAACATGAAAAAGTCAAGAATAATCATGACATGAAATAGTTCTTAATCTGGAAAAACTGCTGAAGCTATTGATTTCTTATTTGATTGGGTCTTTTGTTTGTTTTGTTTTGTAGGAAGGAGGGAGGTAGAAGGACTAGTGACTAATATTCTAGACTTGGAGTTCACAAGGCTTAGGTTCAAATCCTATGTTGGCCAGATGACTTTATGTAACGTTATTCAAGACATGTAATTTATTTATTTTTAATTTTTTAAATTTTAATTTAAATTTTTTTCTCCATTAATTTATTTAGTTTGAGTTTTCAACATTCACTTCCACAAGATTTTGAGTTCCAAATTTTCTCCCCTTCTCATCCCTTCCCCCACCCCAAGACTGTGTGCATTCTGAATACCCCTTCCCCTAATCTGCCCTCCCTTCTATCCCAGCCCCCCCCTTATCTTATCCCCTTCCCCTTCTATTTTCCTGTAGGGCAGGATGGATTTCGATGCCCCATTGCCTATATATCTTATTTTCCAGTTGCATGTGAAAACAATTTTTAACATTTGTTTTTAAAACTTTGGGTTCCAAATTTTCTCCTTCCTCTCTCCCCACCCACCCTCACTGAGAAGGCAAGCAACTTGATACAGGTTATACGTGTGTGGTCCTACTACTTCTATAGCAGTCATGTTGTGAAAAACTAACTATATTTCCCTTCATCCTATCCTGCCCCCCATTTATTCTATTCTCTCTTTTGACCCTGTCCCTCCTCAGAAGTGTTTACTTCTAATTAACCCCTCCCACAATCTGCCCTCCTTTCTATCATTCTCCCGTTATCCCCTTCCCCCCTATTTTCCTGTAGGGTAAGATAGATTTCCATATCCAATTGAGCATGTATGTTATTCCCTCTTTAAGCCAAATCTGATGACAATAAGATTCCCTCATTCCCTCTCACCTTCCCACACTTTCCCTCCAGTGTAAAAGCCTTTTCTTGTCTGTTTTATGTGAGATAATTTAGTCTATCCTCCTCTCCCTTTCTCCTTCTGCCAGTATAATCCTTTCTCACCCCTTAATTTTATTTTTTAGATATCACCCCTTCATCTTCAACTCACCCTGTGCCGTGTGCAGCTGTTTTCAGAGATACTTCTAGGGACCTGTAAATTTTCCATTCTTCCAAGGTGTTATGAACAAAGGCAAGGTGTTTACTCCTTTCCTGGCCAGTGCTCTGGTCTATGAGTGACCACAAGCACTTTTTTCTGCCTTGGAACTGTGAGGAGGATTTTCTCTGTATCACCACAACAAACTCCACCATGCCAGTGCTCCTCCTTGCCCCAGGACTGCCCCTCAGAACTGTGACAAAGATCCAAGCACAGGTGAAGGAAGAGGTTCCTGCCTCAGTGCCGGCAAAGAGATCCCTGCAATCTCTCTCTGATCAGCCACTGGATTCCCCCTCAGTCTGTGGGCCAAGGCTGCAGAAGTAGCTGCTACCCTAACTGGAGCCAGACTGAACTCCTCCCTCACTGAGGTCACAGACCTTTCCTACTGACCTTCTAAGTTGTCTTTGGTGTTTGTGGGTCGAGAAGTCTGGAAACCACCACAGCTGTCCATGATTAAGTCCCCTGAGGTCTGCTCCAGGTTTGCTGAGTCCTGGTCTTTCCTGTGGCCCATGCTGAACTGTGTTCCTCTCCCAGTCTGGCACAATAGACCTTTCTAATCAACCATCCAGATTGTCTTGGGCTGGAAATTTGTTTCACTCTATCTTTTTGTGGGTTTTTCTGCTCTAGAATTTGTTTAGGGCCATTTTTTACAGGTATTTGGAAGGATTTGGGGGAGACCTCCAGCAAGTCACTGCTTTTACTCCACCATCTTGGCTCTGCCCCCTAATTTATTTTTTACTTATTTTCCTCAGCTATTCAATAAGTATGCTAATACTTGTGATACCTACTTTACAGAGTTGCTATGAGTCATATGTAACAATATGTATGTAACAAAGTGATGTGTGAATCTGAAAATGTTACATAAATATGAGTTATTTTTCTGTCTAAGAAATGGTTCTGCTATTTAAAGGTGACTAAATTCTTCTTTTGTGTGTTTTTAGATGGAAGATGTCATAGCACGCATGCAAGACGAAAAAAATGGAATTCCTATTCGGACTGTCAAAAGCTTTCTTTCCAAGATACCCAGTGTCTTCTCTGGTAAGGCTTTACCTCTTTTGGTCTACTTGTCTATACATGTCTTTAGAATCAGTCATGATACTTCTCAGCTTCTGTTCTAGATTTTTAATGCTTAACCTTTCATTCAGTCTAATTTTATGGGATACCAAAATATAAGAAACTTTTTTTTTGATCCTGTGAAAATTTAGAAGACAAAGGGCTAATTGATGTCCTAAAATCACAACTTGGAGAAAAACACACTGGTGAAGGGGCCTAGATGTTACATTAGATGACCTTCCTACAAAAGTAAAATGTTTTCCTGCTATTGTCAGGGGGAGAGACTGATTATGAGAAACAAATTTAGGCCAGGGATCAGCCAGAGTGAATTAACCATACTTTTCTTCAAATTCCAGAAAAGTTAGACTATGAGCTCCTGAAAGCAGGGCTTCTTTTTTATTTTTACTATTTTATTTGTTTATTTGTTCATTTTTTTGCCTTTCTTTGTATTCCCAGAACTTGGCTCAGTGTCTGGCAAAAAGCAGGCACTTAATAAATGTTAGTTGTTTGATTGGTTGATTAGACTTTTTGCAAACTTTGAAAAACAAATCCTATTTTGGGTCAGAAAGGAATAGGAGAAAGAGGTTAGATTCAAAATATATTGGAAACATGATACAGAGACTTAAATTGTATTAGGGAGACTTAGGTTCAAATCCTGCCTCTGAAATTTACTATTTATGTATGTGGCTATGATCAAGTTATACCCTCTCTGATCTTTAATTTTTTCTTCACTTGTGAAATGTGTTTGATAATAATACCTGCCTCTCAAGGTCATTGCAAGGTCCAAATTAGATAATATATGCAAGGCACTACACATAATTTTTTAATATTGTATTTAAAATATAAATGCCAATTGTTATTGTTTTGACCTGAATTAGGCTTGAAGCTTTAAATGCAGCTCTGTCAGAGATGAAATGAAAATGCCATTTGTGAAGATATTAATTTCAAAGTCATCAGCTTGCAAGTGTTTCTTGAAGCTACGAGAATAGACAAATGCTCATAGGGACAGAATATAAATAGAACTTAGAGAAGAATGGAGTCTTAGGGAATCTCCACAGTTAGGAGTAGACAAAAATAAGGTCCATCAGTGAAGGAAACAGAGAAGAAACATTCACAGAGAAGAAACATTCACAGAGGTGAATCAGGAGAGCAAAACTCCATAGAAACTAAGAGAAGAGAAAGATTTTAAAAGGAGATAGTGAATATCACAGTCAAGTGTGTCAGAAAAGTTAAGAAAAATTAGAAATGAGAAGGAGTCACTTCTTGTTAAAATTTCAGTATGAGCATTTACATTTTGGAAATTGACAAGCACTATAAGTCATGACTGATTTATTATTTTGTTGATTGTCCAGACTTATGAAAGTGATGGAGAAAATTAAAATAATGCAGATTAAATTTAAAAGGGTGCCATGCTTTTTTTCCTGGAAAGTTGGTTATTAAACAGTTGCCAGCACACCCTTCAGTATAAACCAGATAGTCAAGAAGCTTGGCAATAAAAAGGAATGTGATAATAATATCTAGAAGGAGCAAGAAGCTTAAAGAAGGCTTATCATCATTATCATCATCATCATCATATTAGCAGCAGTAGTAGCAGTAGTAGTAGTAGTGATTTAGACAAGGGAAACCTATGTGTATTTCAAGAAAAGAAAAGGTCAATGGAAGAGCATGATATGGTAGAAAAGAGGTATTTGGAAACATAACTTGGGTTCAAATCCTGGCTTTATGACTTTCTAACTATGAGATCTTGGAAAAGTCACTTATCTTCTCTATCTTCAGTTTTCTCATCTGTGAAAAGACAGTGTTGGTTTACATGGTCTTTGAATACCTTCCAACTTTGAATCTATGAAAGATCCTGTGGAAGAAAAGAAAAAGTGCAGAATCAATATCCCATAGGAGTTAGGATAGTGGAAATATTAACTTTAGAGGGAAGGTAAACCTTCCTGTAAAACTAAAAGAAAGGATGAAAGAATTAGCACATACAGGGATGTGTTAAGGTAGAGGTAAGTGTATATATGGGATCTCTCATCAGGTTCACTAAATCTTTCCACCAAATAGGAAACAAGATCGTCTGTTAAGGGCATGGCCAGAGCAGATGGTACTGGGAGCTAAAGGAGAAAGAAGGTCTGGAACAGCCAATATGTGAAATTTGCTAAAGAATTAATAAAAGATAAATCACAAGACTCTGGGCAGTAATAAGACTCCAGTTTAAATTGGGAAACATGAACTAAGAGTGATCCTGAGCTAAACAGTTCTGTTACTGTTGAAGGTATTACCATTATTTAGGTTCAAAACCTCAGTGGCATCATAAATTCCTTATTATCATTCACCCCACTTGGGTGATCGATTGTCAAAAGAGCATTCATTTATTAAATATTTACTATACTACTTACTATAAGCCCTGTGGATAGAAAAATAAAAAACAACATAGTCTCTGCTCTCATCATTCTAATAGAGGAAATCAAAACATAAAGGGTAGCTAGAAAATAAGGTGGGTGGTAAGTAGCCTGTGTGAAAGTAAAGCAGGCTGGAGGGCAAGATAGAAATGGAGAGTGACAGCAGTGGACTGACATCATGATATGAAGATTCTAGTCGCTGAATTGATTTCAGGGTAGAGTCACCCCCCAAGGGTCCTGGAAGCCAGTGTAGATGTAGAATATGTCTGAAGGTGGGCTGGAAGTGAGGAAAATGCAAGCTCCATGAGGGCAAGAGCTGTTTTTGTTTATTGCCTGACACATAGTAAATGCTTACTAAATTTTTGATTGAAGTAACTAAAAAAAAAAGCTTGTGGTTAAATAACTGGTATCTATATTCTAAGGGTGTGTTGGTTTCATTTCTAGAAGAGAAAGTGCATAGGCATGAGGAACAACTCTCTACCTCCATTTTCTTAGAAAGTTTGAAATGTCCCTTAAAAATAATTGAAGAAAGGATTTGTTTTTTTTCAAAGAATAAAATATTTCTAAATAAAGAATAGGAAATTCTAGCCCATGTCAAGAAATCATATCTAGGAATGTAGGAAAAGAATGTCACAAAGAGGAAGAAGAGAAAGACTATTGAACAAATGGAATTAATGGGCTATGAAGTTATTTCACATAAGTATAGACAGAACCCAACCTGGTTGAGCCATCACATCCAAGAGGAAGAGATATGACCACATACATGATCCATGCTCTATGCAAATCTATGTTCTTCTAGTGGAAGGGAGAGCTAATTGAGGAAACAACTGCTTGAGCTCTAGAGAATCATGGGTCACGGTACTATTGTTAGAAGAGACACCATCTAGTAAGGGTGAAGGAAGGAAGAAGAGGTGAATGTCGTGGTTGGTGGAGGGGACTGAAGCATTTATTTGGTAATTTGACACCAACAATAGTGAGATCTGCTGTCTTCTAGGGCATGTATCCAAGATATGATTGAAAAGTTCCCAAGACTTGTCAAACTGAGTGACTGCCATGTATTTCTGGGCTTCACATGGGAATAAATGATATTGCCAGAGGGAATTTAGAAAGCATTGTTAAAGAATATGAAATATTGAATGAGAAAATTAAGACCTTTGGGGCATAGGGGTTGTTCTCATCACTGCTATTCAACAAACCAAGGAAATCCTAAGGGAGGGATAGATTTAGGGAGTGAATAGCATATTATGAAGATTCAGTCTGAGATGTGATTTATAATTCTGGTCCAAGGTTAAAAATAATGTGAAGATGGACTCCTGACTAGGGATAAAGTACATTCACTGTATCTAGGAAAACATCTATTTATCTAGATTCTTTTAAATCTAACCAAAAGATATTTAAATTGAAAAATGAGAGGGATGAGAGAGAGAGAGAGAGAGAGAGAGAAGAGATAGAAAGAGAAAGACAAAGACATACAGAGAGAGAGTATGTATGCATATGTAAGTGTATATTAAGATATAACATAAGCAAAGTTTCTTAACTTGTGGTCTGTGACTTTTATTTTTAAGTTTTGATTACTATATTTGAGTGTAATTGGTTTCCTTTATAATTCTGTATGTTTTTTATGAATTTAAAATCATCATTTTGAAAGGGAGTCCATAGTGTTAACCAAACTTCCAAAGAGGTCTAAGACCCAAAGAAGGTTATGACCCCTTCACATGGAGAGTAGTCAGTCAATCCATAAAATTTATTCATTTTATGTGACAGATACTTTGCTAAGGAAAAAAATAATCCCTGTTTCCAAGGTGTTTACAGTCTAATGGGTGAGACAACTGAAAAAAACAAACAAGCTATATAGAGTAAATACGTACAAATAAATAATATAGAAGATAAATTTGAAATAATCAGCAGAGGGAAGGCGTTAAAATTAAGGGAGATTGTGAAAGACTTCTTGTAGAAAGTGGGATTTTAGATGGATCTTTAAGGAATCCAGAAAATACAGGAGGTAGAAATAAGAAGGGTAAATATTCCAATATTCCAAGATAGGAGATATCAAGTAAAAATGACCAGAATGTAAAGACAAAATGTCATGTGTGAGGAACAACCAAGAGGTTAGTGTCACTAGGTTGTAGAGTACTTGGGAGGAGTAAGTTGTAAGAAGACTGGAAAAGTATGGCAGGCAGGGGGTTGGTTATGAAGGGCTTTGAATGCCAAATTAAAGATTTTATATTTGATCCTGGAAGTGATAAGAAGCCACTAGAGTTTATTGATGAGGGGGTGTGATATGCACTATAGGGAGATCACTTATGAAACTGAGTGGGAGATGGACCAGAGTAGGGTGAGACTTGTGGCAGGCAGACCAACTAGTTGGCTATTTCAATAGCCCAGGAATGAGTTGATGAGAGCTTATGATGACAGCAGTGCGGTGGCAGTATCAGAGGAGAGGGCATATGTAAGAGATATTATGAAGGTTAATGACAGACCATGGCAACAGATTGCATATTGCAGATGAGATAGTTAAGGATGGGACTTAAGTTGTGAGTCTGGATGAGTGGAAGGATGGTGGTATCCTCAATAGGATTGTTGAGAAAAGGG